TTGCAGTTGATAATGGTGGATAAAAATTGACATTTTATACTGTTTTTTGCAATAAATTTAACTTGAACAAAGACCAACGCAATTTATTACCCCATGAAATCGACCACATAAGATTCAGTCCTTAACTGATATCATCCTCAAAATCAAAGTTATGGATTTTAAACCAGGTAACATTTGCATCCCTGTCCATAGTTTGTAGAAATACAATATTAATGGTACTGTATGTGAACGAGAAAATAATTATAACTTCCATTCTGACTCACTATGTTTTGCTTATTCTAAACTGATGTGATTTTAGACGGTTTAAATAGAGCTGGATACGCCCATTGTTCTTCAAAGTTGTAACCGGAGCTAAGTAAGAATCTGACGGAATTGACTTTAATATTGAAACGGCTAATTGTAACTGATATATAACATTAGGATTTGATGTCGTTTAAAATTGACGTGACATCAATTACTTTAAGTCGACGTGCACATCTGCCGATGAACATCAAACACATTATTTGTAAATGACATTGTCGATATCAAGAAAGACTGAACAAGTATTGAACATTTACCTTTATTTACAATTCAATTCATAAATATTCAAATTTAAATTCATCAACGGGTGGAACGGTCGAGTGGTTTAAACTCCGGCATTCCACGCAGGCGATCCCCGAAGTCGTCGTAAGCATGGAAAATTCAGAGAAAGTGTTTTTCTCCTGCCCCCACAACTCCAACAACCCGGATGGAGTATATAACATGATCTGCGGGGATGTCGCGGTAACTGTGCTTTAAGTGATGCGGCTCTATAAATGATACCGTTGGAAGTACGGTCCCACTACAAACAGAACACATTACATCTCCAGCACACACGCAGGTATATACACATAGGTAGATATTAGCCAGGTGGCATATGACTCGTAGTTAGCGCCTGATAAGGCAGCTCCTGCGAATTCCTCAAAAGTATATTGATTAATGTACATGCTAATAGTATTCATTGTATAAAGTGTATATATAAATATGTACTGTAAAGCACGTTAGAGTGACTTATTCTAGCTAGATAGGGCACTATATCAAATGTTGTAAATTAAACGTTTGTCATTTTCATTGGCACATTAGCAATATTCTTGTCGAGTATAATGTATTTTAGCAGAATGTTTCAGACTTCATGTTGGTTCATCAACTTTTTCGTGTATTAACACTCATAATCTATATGTGATGGCGCGGAAATTGGTGCACCATTCTTCATCATTTTAACCACCTTACCACCAAATATTTCATACAGATATTCCTGACACTGAATTCTGGGGATGAATGAAACCTCATCTTCAAAAGTTCAAGGTTAAGGTCAAAATTTAACATAAGTATGGATATATATTCATAAATCTTATTCCGTATTTCTTAAATCTTACATATGTAGTCGTTTGTTTGCCCATACACTTGATTGTTGTAATTAACATAAGATTTAGAAGAAATGTAAATCAATGCTTCCAATCCTGGCTCTCACAGGTATAACGACGGTACCATCACTTACCGATTGCCCCATTCTTGTTATCAATTTGTATTATCGGTTTGCAGTGCTTCATACAAAAATATTTCTATAGATGGTTTTGTTATAAAGAGTAAGTGAATTAAGTAAATTGATTCTGAGCATGCTTGCTCCTTCAGCAAGGTAATATTTCCGTACTGGTTTCGATCTTATCCCATTTTTGCGAGCGATACCACTACATCATTTTCACCGTGTAGTTATATATATATCTATAATAATATCGATATTAAGTCACGACTTAATGTTTTCTTTATAAACTTATGCGGATTTCACGTATGGTTCTTGATTGGTCAATTGCCAAAGCCTTTCTTCGAGATACATGTATATCTGAATGCACGTACAGTCAAGTTGCATTTTCGGGTTCAGCCTAAAACATTATCCAACATGGTATTTTCATAGTAAACAGCAGGAACAGACGTACGTGCATCCTGTTCGAGATTTTCCGTCGTACTGTGAACCGTAGCCAGATGGCATGACTAAAGTAGTACTACTTCCAGAGGAATTTTATTCTTTTACATAACGTAAAGTACTACTATGCATATTTTCCATTCAGCTTTATTTCACAACCTTTTAAACGAAGGAATGTTCCCTTTAAATGCTTAAACCCTTTCAATCCTATGTAACTTTGGTAGACTCTTCCATTCATTGATCTGGATCAGTCTATTATGGTCTACAGTGGTAAAAGGGTTAATATAACCTGATATGCTATACTCCCAACATTTTAAGGAAATGTTTATCAGCTGTGAGAGAGCATCAGGACAATGACCTTAGATCTAAAATTCCTCTGGAAGTAGTACTACATGCTGTGTATAAAGATGTTTATGCATGATGAGTTAAATACTTCCATGTTAATTTCATCACGGATAGTCATCAACACGTATACCTTAAAATCACACATTTTCAATGTTTGAATATGTCCCTTTAAAGGGCTGCCTTTCCTCCACATCTACATTTGCTTTGAACTCATTAGAATGAAGTTCCACGGTTGACTTTAAATACACATTGTTTAGTAGAGAGTAAATAATATTGTCGATAACATCATTTTACAAGCCTTTGTCACTTAGCAAGGATTCATTCCTGAGCGATTTATTGTTGTGCTTGAACGCATAGGAGACTGAACCCTAGACTGTAATTTTATCATGTCCTGTCAACACGTGTTGTGACTTGTTAATTTTTCCAAAGACAATGCATTAAGGTTATTGGATGGCTACTGTAATCAAAGACCATTTCTAACTCTTTACAAGTGAAGTCTTTATATACACAATCATGCTCAGTCTTGCATCACACATACCAGCTATACCCTCCATAACTATGCCATACATTCCCAATTAACAATTTTCCTGCACACATTCTACCCTGTAGCGTCACACACTCTATGCATATCTAGATCAAAGGATACCCTCGACAGGTGGAGGATACGGGTGAATTCCAAAGAATTTCGGAGGGTCATTACGTCATACATTCTGCACAGTTCAATCCTCATATTTTTACTGTCACCCATTCCTTACATATCCTTCCCTAAAAGAATTTGGTAGTGAGCGACTGTAAAATTACCCTACTGCAGTAACTGTGGCGGTTTGAGTTTATGTACACTATCCTGACGTCACGTTATTTGATAAACATAAATATATATATTATGGTTTTATTATGGTATCACACGTGCACGGTAGTCATGTGGTAAATTGTAAAACAGTGAGAAAAAATTGAAGTATGTAATGTGTCACAAATAAATCATACATGTGTCGTACTTTAATTTTACCTTTATTTCTTTGATGAGAAAGACGCCAATTCTAGGCAACACACATTCATATTTCCAAGGAGAGAATTCTTTCCATGATAATGACGTAACATTTCGTTGGATAGTATGATCTGAATTCGTGGATGTAATGATTGTGACGGTTTCGAAGGTGTATTCCAAATATAAGCCAATGGTTCGAGGGATACAAAGGGAGTATTGACCCTTTATTAACAACTTACGTCATGTATTGATTCTTTAATACATTGATATTTACGTTATTAAGAGTATACAATGAGCCTTAGTAATTTTAAATCAATATTTATCTATTTAACAGATAGTACTGCTTCATTCATCAAAGACACAGGTGTTGGACAGGGTTACAGAAAGGTATCTGCTTGATAAGTTTTGGCGTACACGTTAGTGAGTTTAAAAAAAGTTGGTATGATGGCAGGCAGCCTGATGTACTTATGTTTATTCTTTTCATTATGTTCATGCGAGAATATCACTTCCAAGATGACTCATATGGCCGAATTGGAAGATTTACAACTAGCGGATAATGCCGGTATTGTTTCAACAAGAAGCGTCTTAAAGTGTGCTATGGAATGCACAAGCAATGCATCATGCAAGTCGATGTCATATCACCATGTGAATAGAGACTGTCTCCTCTATCCCTTTTTGTTAAGCAAAGACAGAGTTGGAGTGATTAGTGAAGTTGGTTGGACGTTGTATAAGAAATCAAGAGGTAATTTGTAAAACGTTGTTTTAAGGTTGTGTTTCTCCCGTATATAATTATCAGCAGAATATGCAGTAGTAAAAAGGAGAATGGTCTAAGTAAAGTCAAAACTAGGTCGGTTTCTAAAATAAAAAGGTAGTAATATTCTAGGCATGAATAACAAGAAAGAAAACCCAATTACGGTGAAAAATATTTCTTCAATCCAAATATTTTGTAAAAAATCTACAAAGTATCATTTTATGTTTTAATTTGATATGATAGGTATAACAATCACCAGGTCTGATAATCTGTCTTTATAATCATGGTAATTGTACCATATATAACTGAAAAGTACCTAAATAAATATGTTGCTGGAAGCAAAGACTCCTACCTTTGAAAAGGAAAAGCTTGCATTATTTCGTTAAAAATGTACCAAGAAGCGACAAAGCCAGAAAATAAGCAGCATATGGTATATGTAAATCATACCCCAAATAACAACTTACATCAAGTGAAAAAAACAGAAAGGCGCAGTCCAAGGACAATTAGTCCGGCAGCTTAATGAATTCATCTTTTGCCTCCAGTACTTGATAAAAATCGATTAATCATGAATCTTACTAAATCGTAGATACTTCGACGGTTACTTTGGGTTCGCTTTTGACTATTTAACCTACATGATAACACAGTGTGAGTATTTACATTGACCAGTTTCATTCGCCGATTAGATGACGTAATGATCACGTGCAAAGGCAGTTCACGTTTGCCCAGCATTGATTTATCAACCTTCGAAACTTTTATGGAACTAGTACTCGAAACAGGTCGGGTTTTTTAAATTTGTTTTTCGTGCTGTTTACCATTTTCATTTGTTAATCAAGTCTTCCGGTTGTGTATTATGATTACTTTTAAATGCAGTTACATGTAGCTCACACATGTTCTTTATTTTCATTCAGAAATCAAGAGCGACTGTCTTGCATTGTTGGAATCAAGTATAACACTGAGTGGAGTGTACGATGTATCTGTCTCAGGGACAAACATAACCTCGGTCTGGTGTGACATGGATACAGACGGTGGCGGTTGGACGGTACGTAAATAAGTTGCCAAAAGATATTGATCATCTTTTTTTGCGTTTTATTTCCTTCACATTCTTTGTTTCAAATCAGCTATGGTCCTGCTGAACATGTACATTGTAGTAACTCGCAATCTCAATATTGTCCATTATGCAAAGCTATTATAAGCAAAGTACCAAGATATTCCCAATATCATATAGTAACTATGCGTTACAACTTTGTAAGATTGAAGTTGATTTTTTCTTTTTAAATATTCAAAAGTGTGTCTTGTTTCATCAAGACTTTCTTTGAGGGCGTGACATTTCTTGGGTTTTATCCACATTTACTAAACCGATGTCGTTGATGAAGCAGAGATGGTTCCCTTCCAGAACATTCAGTCTTATTATCAGTGTCCCCTTGTAAATGTTTCTTTGCTGATATATTGCACTTGTTTTTCGGCGTTGAGCTCAAAAAGTTTTGATCATACGTCAGGTTTCTCCTGTTGTTTTCGTAGTTTCAACAATGTACCTTTTGTTTATATCTTGTTCTAGGTTTATAGATTTTGACCTGATTAATCTAAATAATTGGCTCATAAAGTAAACCTTTAATCGGAAAATCGAGTAATCTTGAACTGCTGGTACGGAATTCCGTAATGGACAGGTACTCTTTCAAAAGGTATTTAGTCTTTACAGGCACCAAACCGATCCATTTATATAAAACATCACATTTTCCTTCACCCTAAGGTAGTTCAGGTTCCACATGTGATTTATGCGTCAGCTTATAGCGCTTAATCACTCCTTAGCAGAGCTCTTTGACGATGGTGCCTATCTTAAATCTTGAATTACAAAAATGGTCGATTTACATTAAGTTTAATGTCTACCACCAATTTGGCGTTCCCACAATATGTTCATACCTCTCAACTTTGTACAGGTATTTCAGAGACGTATAGATGGCGCCACCGATTTCTTAAGAGGATGGGACGAATATAAGAATGGTTTTGGCGACGCTAACCATGAGTTTTGGTTAGGTAAGATTTTAATATGACCAGCATCGTAAAGGTCTTACGTCTGATTCTAGATAACTGTTGCAATAAATGTAAACAGATTGTATGAAGTGATATTTGAGTGATAAGAGATTTGCTTACATAACATTTAAATGTTAAAATAAAAAAAAGATAATTTAAAATTAAAAAAACCGGACCTCGTGGTTTTGCAGGTAAGCCAACCCTTTGTCACATCCGATCGGAGAGTTGAATTTAGGCCGCTTTAGTGAATGTTGAGCTAGTAACCCATGCGATGTCCACGCAGTAACTGTATCTTTATATTTCCCTTTTCAGGAAATGAAAAAATACACACACTCACGTCAGAAGATGATAATGAAATGAGAGTTGATATGGAGGATTTCGAAACCAACACTGCATATGCAAAATATCAAAGGTTCGCCATTGGAAATGCCGAGGATGACTATCGATTGGATATATCGGGTTATTCCGGAAATGAAGGTAACAAAGTTAGTATTCTGTATTTCAAAATAGGTATTGAATCATATTTTGTTTTACACAATTCAGCCATTGTTGATCTAGTCGAGAACAGGTCGAATGTCTTAATGAACAAACAACACCACTTTAGACATCAGATAGGTCTACACTGAATTTACATTACGTAATTGGCAATTCGCAGATAATATCATACCACAGTGTTACTTGTTTGGTGTTTTAGACAATCTGAACATTTCCCTCATAAGATTTCCGTCTCCAATCACTACAGAAATAAAACCCATTCGTTAGACACAGTTCTAGTATTCTATAGTATTCAGATCAACTATATTTATAATAATCAACTTAATTACCTGTTTGAGACATATCACTTGAAACATCCAGCGCTATCACTGAGAAGTTATAAACATTGACAATTGCACCTGAAAACGCCATTCTTAACCATTATACACCACATTAACGCTTTGAATGTATACTTTTCCAACTGAGTTATTTGAACAGTCATTTGAACAAGTATGTTTCATTGTAGCATGTTATGAATAACATGACTATATTTACTGGTGAAACACATTATAAAGGGGGAAACAAAGTTTCATTTGCGATATCATAGAGACGGTTACAAACCTCGATTATAAATAAACTTGTGAACTTGTCAAACACAGTGATATATGACAATGTGAACATGAGCAGGAAAGAGGGAAGAGGCCCTGTCACAATGTTCATCAATCACGCTTACACATATATGAAGAACGTAAACATATCAAATCTAGTCCCTCGGAATATCGATTCTGTTCTTAAATACTATAGCCAGATCCGTTAGCTAACAAAATGGTTCCCTGTCAAGTTGAGTTATCCATATAAATTGTATACGACACTGCAAACGCACGAGGTTGCACCGTATTGTTAAAATGCCTGATTTCTAAGCAACAAGAGACGACAAAGATATGACTGATCATAATATCAACAAACTATTGCTTTTCTACTCACTATAATTTGACATTTTCAGTAAATTATAATAATAATATACAACATTTGATATAGCGCCCTATTTAGCTAACATAAGTCACTCTAAAGCGCTTTACAGTACATAGATATACAATTGATACAATAAGGATATACAATTTTTGAGGAATTTGCAGGAGCTGCCTTAACAGGCGCTAACTACTAGTCCTATGCCACCTGGCTAATATGTCCCTATGTGTGTATGCCTGCGTGTGTGTTGGAGATGTATTATAATGCATACATGGTTACAAATCAAACTGGAAAAATGATTCATTCAATGACTTTGTTAGACTGACTTTGAGATTGTTACATCGTTAACTTACACATAAATGTTCGGTACATCCGTTATTGATAACATGATACATTCACTGACTTTGTTAGACTGGCTTTGAGATCGCTACATCGGTAACTTATACATAAATGTTTGGTACATCCGTTATTGATAACATGATACATTCACTGACTTTGTTAGACTGGCTTTGAGATCGTTACATCGTTAATTTACATATACATGTTTGGTACCTCCGTTATTGATAACATGATACATTCAATGACTTTGTTAGACTCACTTTGGTATCGTTAAATCGTTAACTTACACATAAATGTTTGGTACCTCCGTTATTGATAACATGATACATTAAATGACTTTGTTAGACTGACTTTGATATCTTTACATCGTTAACTTACACATAAATGTTTGGTACCTCCGTTATTGATAACATGATACATTCAATGACTTTGTTAGACTGGCTTTGAGATCGTTACATCGTTAATTTACATATAGATGTTTGGTACCTCCGTCATTGATAACCAACGTGTGAGTAACATGTAGTGCGGTTCAGTTAGCACTCAAATTTAATTTGTTTATGATTATCTAAACTAAACATATTCAACATCGTCACACTTAGTTGTTTTTCAATGAACTATAAAGGGTGGCTATGGTTAACAGGTTAAACATGAACACTAACGTTATCTATGTATCTTTTTTCTGCTTTCTATTTAACTGTTGTATTGAATATCATTCTTTTGTTTACAGGGAATTCTTTGGCTGAGCACAACGGTCAGCCATTCAGCACACACGATCATGGTAATACTTACTGTGCTGTTACATACTCAGGCGCCTGGTGGTACGACAATTGTCATAGTTCCAATCTTAACGGACTGTACTTATTTGGCAGTTCGCCTCAATATGCAAAGGGCATAATATGGGGTACATGGAAAGCATATTATTATTCACTCAAAAGTACTAAAATGATGATTCGAAGGTTGGCAATACCATAGTGTGAACAACTAATTAGATTAGGTGATCGTATTGTGCTTATTACTAGTGTACGAATGTCTTGATGTGTATTTAAGTGTAATATTCGGTTTAATTTTACTATCACATATTACTATTCAGCTAACAAAAACAGAAACTGGGTATTGACAATTTTTTTCGGTATGACTGTAGTTTTGAAATTTTGGTAAACTATCGATCTTATCGTTTGAGCTATATGTTCTACAGAGTGGTACTGGCCCAATTGATATACAAATATATATTGTAAAACACAACTGAAGTTAAGGGGCAGTAATTGCATACAGGAAAAACACATTGCTATTGGACTGAGATTTTTTAAACGTCGATTATTTTCTCAGATTTCTGTGTGATCTATTAGACCTTTTAAATATTTCCTTTGCCCCCTATGCCTTTTGTATTGAATATGAAATCCCTACAATGTATTAACAGGGGGTTATTACTATGCTGTAACATTTTAATCCGCCTGGTGATACGTCTAAGTTTATGATTCAAATCTTAACGGACTCTACCTAACGGGCAGTACTTCTACATGTGCTAGAAGAATCACATGGTATACATGGAGGGGATATAATTATCCACTGAAATTAAATAAATGATGATTCGAAGGTTTGCAAAAAACATGGTCATTGTTATTAATACGTATTATTTATGAAAATCGCAGATTACTTAGCGGAGTTAAAAATACATCCGAATATTGGGTTTCTGTAGGTATGTATTTTTTTTATCCTGGAAGCAATCATAAACGATGTCGGCACCAAACTGTTAAGAGAAAAAATGTTCGCTGACAGAAAACAACTGCCTTTAATAATCTAAGTAAATTATTTGTAGATATAAGGTGTGACTGTCTGGTCGTATGTTGTACTTAGAATAGATCATTTTAATTATTTATTAGCTATTAGATATTTCCATTTCATATTTAAAAAAACCAAATCATCTTTGAATTTCATTACTTAAAATAATTCAACATTATTTTGAGCATCTCCATCAAAAAGGTATGCTAAAACCTGTGATATTTATTTTACGAGTTTCATAAAACCGTTGCGATAAGTTGTTTCGCCATGTTCTTTTAAAAAACATATTAAAATTTCAATCACATCAAACATTGTGTTTTACATTTCTTTAGACTCCTCTTATGTATACTTAACTTCATCGTTTCATGTTCTCTTAACAAAATCATATTAGAAATGGGGATTACACCAAAGGGCTATCGAACAATGATTTGTTTATGCATTATTAATCTGTTGGTAAGCCGAAAACATTATCATTAATCATTTCACTTCTTACATTAACTACATACTGAAAATAAAGGTTACATACAGGACTTGTCATTTATAAACATTACATAACTATTTAACTTTAGTTACAAACTATTAACGTTATCCTCTCGTCATAAGACCACACACAAATAAACAATTAGACAAACAAACATTGCAAAAAAAACAACGAAACAAAACTGATAAAGCTACAAAAAATCAACAACTAGGCAACAAAGTCTTAGATCGTGCTTTGAATCCATCTGCTACAATATTTATACAATTAACAAGGTCTAAATTATGCTGAACACTAACAAGCCAAACTCTGTAATTGTTAACGGGAAGCTAATGTCAATGACATTCTGATACGCAGAGTAAGGCAACTATTTGACAATGACGTACAAACACGAGCAGGGTTGACTACATGTTTCTTATTAGGACGGAATATTAGAGTCGTCGAGATTGACATATAAAATGTAGTTTTGGTGTAAAGCAATAGTTATTGCCATACTTGAACAGTCAAAGCATGATATAAACCAACAGTCAACCTGTAACATGTCATTGTCGCCAATTACAGCTCAAGAGATCCTTCAATACAATATCGTTCACAGAAATTCCTGTGCAGGCTTATTTAGATTTATATTTGTACAGACATGCATATTATTGTGACGAGCGTTTCAATATAGTACAATTGCACGCTTGTTATAGAGGGGGAAATATATTAGTAAACAGATGCGCTAAACGTATACATTCGAATGCGTATCGGAAGTATCTTAAGCTAACGTATTCAGTAAGGATATTGGTCTAGCATAGATCGACTGGTTTTGAAACCAAGCATCGTGTTTATTGATGATTCATTTTTTTTGAACTTTAATCTAAATACAAAGAAAATAATAAAAAATAAATAAAAATATGGAGGTAGAACTTTAATTCAATGTACATTGAGACCATCAAAAAAGTACAAGAATAATAGAACAGGTGTTCCGGAGGGGTAATCGTCGTCTGCATCTTGACAACACCCGCCATGTTAATTCAAGTCACAAAATCAAAGTAATGTCACGTCTTCACATCGAGAACATATGTAGTGACAACAAAACCGTCATATCATACAAACAAATGGGATATTTATCTTTGGGACCATGCTGGCGACCAGAAAACTTCTCCAAAGACTTCCTCATCCGGCACTTTTGGTAACTGCGTGTTGTAAGTTTGCCCTTCTGTAGATGACAACTGTCCTGAAAGTAATGATATTCAGATCAAACTCTTAAATACCAAATCAACTGCTATTCCGTCTTTTCGTATTGCAGAGTTAGCTGCTCTTGTGAGCAGGTATTGAATGTTACGTCATTAGTTTGTGTGAGAAAATTATGTCGTTTTCTCAAAAAAATATGACGTAACTCACACAAACTAATGACGTAACAATCAATACCTGCTCACAAGAGCAGATAACTCTGCAATACAAAAGGACGGAATACACACCGTAGGATGGAGACGCCGATATGTTAGTAAAGGGAATGTTCACGATGGGAAAAGTCAAAATCGTCCCTCTTATCGTACTGTTTATAATAATACCGTCCCTGATTGTCATGGTTCAATACAAGATGACAAAACAAGCGGAACAAGATGAGACTGTAGAGGTTTTGATATCAGGCTCAGTAATATATATAAAATTTGTGTGATTAAAGGTATTTGCATTCAAAATAAAATATATCGTCGTTATATCTTGATGTTAAATAGATGGACTTCGGTTTTGTTATAAGTCCTAATAGGTTCATAACAAATAACTCAACTTCATATGAAAAAAACAGTTGGCTAGAAGAGGATCACAGTTTGTTCCTATATGAATGCCTTCAGTCTCACAGGAAATCTTTCCATCGAACTCAAAGAAATTTGTCAACCAGGAATTCATTTATTTTTCATAATTTCACCTCCAGTACATTTCAATTTTGCTTCAAGATTTACAGAACATTGATTCCACTTCTCGAGTTTACAGTGTCACACTATGACTGTAACCCTGATTTAAATTTGATTAAACTTATTTTTAAAATGTACCAAGTACCATATTTCAGTCTAATAGAGAGGTGCAGCACCCTTTTTTTAGTGTTGGCCACTCTGCAATTTTGATATTTAGAAGCACATTAAGTTTTGTGAACGTTTTTGAAATATTGACATAACTCTGCTTATGACAAATTTTGAAATTGTTTGGTACAAAGGAGATAGAAAGGCTTATAGAACTGTATATAGTATGGTATGAGAATGAGATCATTGCACGACACTGGCATTCACACGAAACGTCAGAAAAACAAAGTGAATAAATTGTTGCCGCCCAGCCAGTCTGTCGCCAACGCAATGCCATTATACATTGTACATCCGTTATAGACGAGCGTATAAACATGGCATTATTTTGGTTCATGTGTACAATGCTTTATGATCTAAAATAGTATTATTATCGACATCTTCTTTATCTAACAGATAAGTAATGAAAGACACATACCATTATTTATTTGAACCGAGTAACTTAGTTACATAAACCTTCAAATTTACTCTGGTAAGCAAGTCAATATAACGAATGTACTTCATGTATGAATATTTAACAAAGTCCTTATTATTAGCATTTGTAGCAACCATATTTTCTTCCAAACCCATAACCTAGAATTTAGGCAAGAAAAACTACATCTTCAGGACAAATAACAGAAGCAAAATTTCATGAGATATTGTTTTGTTTAATTTCTGTTTCCTGAAAGAATCTGTTAACATATTTTGTACAGCCATTATATAAAGTGTTTGACCTAAACATTTAACGATTCAAGCAAAGACTAATACATGAGCATTTTTTTCCATCTCAAAACTGTTAAGGTCTTTCCGTGAAACAACCTTAGTATTTGGGACCAAACATGATGTGACGTCAGATTCAAATTTTGACGGAATTTTCCGAATGGTTTTTGATCGACGTCCGCCGCCTGACGGAACTTATTAAAGAAAAGACGATCCTGTTCCCGCAAAAATTGCTTTATAACCCCATGTCGGGAAAACGTGTGTCTGACTGAATTTGCATCATATGAGATCACAAAGGACAATTAGATAACATTATCCTAGTCGTTTTTTTACTTAAATAGAAGGACTTAGGTCCATTTAAAACAATGAAAGTTAATGAAATTTAAGCTACAAAGCAGGTCATACAAATCTATGATTCTATGATGACCGTAAGCACATCTTGAAGACTATATTTGAACAGATCTGTGTTGCATACCATTATTAAATCCAATAGATTTGTTTTTATCCTGACACACAACGATTTTGTGCCGATGATGATGAGCCCTAAACACGGGCAGGGCTCGCGTCAATAAATTAAAATTTATCCAGTTATAATCTAAATAAATGTAATAATCAATGTACATTGATTCTTACGTTATAGGAGTATATTGCGGTCCAATTACCCATGATATGTAAAGACTATTTGTAACTACCGATCATGTCGAGATTATTGGCAAATTGTTCATAACAAAATAGAGTTGTGGTTTATCTTTTTATTTCTTTGTAGATACTGCGACGTTTGTATTGGTGGTTTGCGAACATCTCTTGCCTGTCGATTTGATATCAGAGACCGCGACTTTGAGTTATGGACAGGGAACAAGTAATATGAATTGTAACTCGTTAGTTGTCTTCTATGCTTTATGTGCAATTAAACTCACAATGTCACTTTTAACGTAAAGTGTGTACATCTGAAAGTTAAAACCCCTCTGTGCATTTTGTATCCACCTACATGCATAACTCCATACAATTTGGTTTCAGGTACACATAAACCTCATCAAACAATCTGTCACTATGGTAACGTCCAATGTATCGGACTGTTACCAATGTGAAGGAGAGGCGTACTACACCATTCGTACGAGAACCTCAACAGAGAATTATCATAAGTTTCTTATTTATGATGAGTAGCATGAATAGCATGTAATGTTCCACAACTTAATAGAGATAACTACAAAAAAGATCGAAAACAAAGACATAATTGGAACAGTCTTTTTG